TGGCTTGTGTATATCGTATATATATACATATATATTATTCATACTTTCGGTGTATACGACACAAGCAGATTTTGACAAATTTTGGGGTAAAAAGTGTGTCTTATACACCGAAAAATACAGTAGTTTAATTAAATGCTTAATACAACTCTGTAAACAATCATGAGAAATGTATTTTGACCCGATCCCATCTTCACATTATTGGTTTCCCTATGTGTCTGTTTATTTTGTTGAAGTAACTACTTTAGTAAATTGAACTACATCATGTTTCCCTTTGTTTTATTGGTTCCCCTGCATGTTTTACTTTGTTGAAATTATTACCTTGGCAGTTCCTTTTTATCTTACAAAACTATGAACCTCATGAGGGAGACTGTCAAGGTTTTATGAAACAACTTTTCATAATTTTTAAAAGAAACACAAAAATAAATTTCATCAATAAAATAAGATAAATACATACACTGGTGTTATTTTTATGATACATATATTATTGCAGAATTTCTTTCAAACTGGCTTAATGCATTACATCATTAGACTGTGTCTGTAAAACCTAGCTTCCAGTTTAACAGTTACAAGTTCATTGAATAATGACACAATTTGCCACACAAGGGCGATAATTTCACTGTAAATTTTACCAAAAATACACCAAATTCGGGTTCAAATGTTTAATGGTTTTCATGTTTTATTTTGAAATATCTGTGTTTAAAATTTTAGGAATGCAAATGCAGAAATAAGTAACATAATGCTAAATTGGCTAAAAAGGGTTTAAAGGTGGATAATGAAAATATATAAAATCTAAATTTGTAATAAACAGTGTAAAGGTACAGATATTCTTATGTGTAAAATGTACTTACGATGATGGGTCAAACATGTTTGATAACATGAAACACTGGGTTGCTATTGGAGGAGCAGCAGTCTGCTGAAGGCCTGACCCTTGCATTTGAAGAGCTGACATTGCCATTTCGGGAATTTCAAAACCAGTTCCTATTGAAATGTAATAAAATGATATCTTTGTATAACATACTTAATTTTGTTTTAATACACATTTCTCTTTTAATAATAAGGCTTTTACATCAGATTTAAAAAAAAAACGAAATGAATCAAGTATGCCAATATATTGCATACTCTTCACTGGACCTAAAAAATGTGGTGAAAAAGGCATATAACTAGAGCAATTTGTTTAACTGCAAACTACAATAATTTGTTTCAGCCACAACATGTTAGTAAGGAATTCATCATAGAAACAAGTGGTAACTAAAGGTTTAGACAAATTTTGAAATAGCCAGTATCATAAAATTCTAAATGGCTAAATTATTTCATATTTAAGCTACAAAATGCTATATTAACCCTATATAAACTTGGCATATTCCACCAATCCAATTTCCAAAAATAGCTATGTTTACTGTAATTACAAATTTACTAGTAGTTGTAGTAGTAGTTTGTAATTAAGCACAAAGCTACACAAAGGGCTATCCGTGCTCTGCCCCCCACAGATATCAAAACCTGGTTTCTAGTCAGCAGACATACCGCTGTGCCACTGGGAGGCCCAAATTTACTAAATTTGGTAGTCTTTTAGCAAACATTACATGTATGTTGTGCACAAAAAAAATCTGAATTTTACAAGTTTTTTTCACTAGATTTATCTTTGACTTTGCTAAATCACTTTCACTAATTTGAATGCAAGGTGATTTTTAAATTGAGAAAAAAAATATTTTTTCATCTTGGATTTTTCATTTTACAACCTACAGAACCTCCTAAATGACAATCAAGTCTTTTTTCAATATAACTATATTTAATCTGTTATTTTCTTTATCCTAACACTAACTGTTTTAGTTAAATCAGCAATGTATGGTAATGAAGAAGACAACAAAATAAATCTAAATTTACCCTTTTAGTTCTTTCTCAACCAATTGCATATTGTAACAAACAATTACACAACAAACTAATCTTACAGTGTTTATTTATCTTAAGTATCACTATCCCTTTTATTGTGAAACCTAATTTTCCTCCCGACACATCAATTGCTACTATTCCTACAGCCAAAGCTAATAAGACTTTTCAAAGTCAGGTTCATTTAGCTTTGTTGCTTAACACCTGCACTTAGACCTTCTCAGAGTATGCCATTTATCACACTTGCACAGCTTTGTGCAAACAAACAATCAAGTTATAGAGAGGAGAAGCCTCAAAGTGACACAGCAAAATCAAGATTAAAACTTTTCAAAGACAAATTATTCTTGCTTTGTTGCTTAACAGCCACACTTAAAACTTCTCGGAAAATGTCAAAAAGCCACTTATCACACCATACAGCTTTGGGTAAACAAACAATCAAGTTACAAGCACAACACAAATGAATTACAAACACACTATGTGCATGGTGTGCTACAATACTGATTATCTGATTGGCCTCTCTGGCAGCCTTAGAAAAGACTGGAGAAACTCAAATATAAGAGAATCAAAGGAGAGGTGTGTCACAGTGACACACAAAAATCAACATTAAGAATTTATTTTATTCAATGAAATTTAAACTTAGATAATGTACAACATTGAATTATAAATTATATTTTTTATGCTACATTTACTGACATACATTAATAAAAAGGTTGTTCCATTAAATTTTGAATGCAAGTCTGTAAGACAATCATGAGATGCACAAGTTACCCTCACCATACACATGGGGTTAGCAACCATATATGTGACCTAATACACACCTTCGGCAAGTTTGGCCATAAGCTGTAGTCTACCAGTTGCACCAAGACCTATTCCGGTACGATCCAATTCTTCACTGTCCAAGAAAGATGCACCATAGGAAGAATCTGTTCGTTCTGTCACATTTCCAACTTTCATTGGACGTCCAGCCAATTCAAAACCATTCAGTTGATCTAGGGCTTTTCTTGCATCTTCCGAATTGTAGAACTGTTATATTAAATAAGGCATAACATAAATTACAATTTATCGCACCTTCCGATTTCATTATGCTCATCTTAAAATAACATACAAGAAAGAATAAAAATAAACTTTCAACAGTTTGAACCTGTACTAAAAATATTGTGTACAATTACATTTATAATTTACACAAAATACAGTATAAAAATCAAATTCCTTGAAGTAATATTTGTAACCTTTTTTGCTAGATTTTTAACCATTTCCAGATCAAAAGGTTATCACCATTATCCATTATTCAGCATTGGTGAAAATACTTAACTAAATTGTAAGAAAGATGGTAAAAATCTTTGTTTCTAGTTTGTGTGTATAATAATTCACAACTTTTGACTTGGAATTTGTAATATTTTTTTTGGTTGTTAATGTCTGAAATTGTGTTTTGAAACTGCTGAAAACCTTTCATTTTAAACTTTCTTTTTTAAATTACTGATCAGAAAGTTCCAAATATTGGCTACTTTTATATGTACAATATCAGGACTGGTATATCCTTGATTTCCTACAATAAAAAATTGATTCTTTAGTAACATTCTTACAAGAAAAAAAATCTTGAGACATAACCAAAACAAAAATAAATGGCTGTCACACTGAACTAAACCTAACGGTTGATATTATACGATATCTTTTTTTACAAGACAGAAATATTCTCCTCTGACCTTGTTATGCTCTCCATCTTTTGGATTTTATATTCTCAACTTTCTTTGGTATAGAAAGTATATGTAGGCAAGTTATACAAAAAATATTTTATATGCAAGGCTTTTGCAAAATATTAGGAGGGAAAGTCATTTTACAAGCACTTTTCCATATAAGTACAAACCCTGGACATAAAGTGTGTATGTTTTGTAGTTTAAGGAGCATGCAAAATTATGGCCTTACAGTTTCTGCTTTAATCAATACTTATTCACAATGACAAAAGGTTCACGGGTAATTTTTCTGGGCAACTAAGACCTATTTTTTGACATGGTGTGTGCAATTTCATACATTGTGTGAAACAAAACATTTAATAACAACCCCTTAAAGCATTTACATATACAGACAAAGTCTCTGGGTTCAAAGCTCCCCTATTTCATAAATTTCAAAAAGCAGAAATCCCAAATTTGTCTGCTTTAGTCTGCTAGAATAGTCACAAAGTTTCATTCAGACTGGTAAAAATATTAAAAAATGGTAGATCAAAAACCCGAATAATGCAAAATTATTTCTTTCACCTTTGACCCCTGTAAAATGACAAGAAAAGCATGAATATCAAATCTGTTTGCTTTAGTTTTTGTTGTCACAAGGTAACTTTATGTCATTATTTCGTTTGCAGACCAAAATACATTTGTATAATGTTTGACCCTTGATCCCTAAAATCAGAACAGAAGTTTAAATCACAAAATTAAATATAGATATAAAGGTCCAACTTATACACTCTCCAAGTTTCAAAATGTTTAGTCTAAAATAATAAAAGGGGCACACAACTGTGATAATTGCAAAAGAAAGAAAGACACGCGAAATACAGTATGTCTCCTTCCCTGTTTGGAAACACAAATTTACACATAACAAATACAATAGATAATATAATTATTAAACATTCAACTCTGAACTTCTGCACTTACAATCTTGTTTCAGGTAGTGCATAATAAAGACTCCTAAATACACAATATTTATACAATGATATATCAAAATGTTTAAGAAAAACTCTAAAAACGGCTTTAGTGCTCATGAAAGGTTTAGGAAATTCTTAATCTGCCAGCTCCAAATATTAGAATTCTTATAATAACTAATATGAATTATTAAGAATTCATTCTTGCACATTTCAGTACTTAAAATGATGAATCAAATGTTTTTCTCAATAATTAGCTAATCTAGGAAAGAAAACTTGTATTTTAGGAAATTAAGAATACTGCATTAGATATAAAACTTTGGTGGGGAGATAGACGAAAAAAAAAAAAGAACATACAATTTATTCATATATAAGCTGAAAATAAGACTATCATTACTGACGTAACTTAACAGGAAACCCCTGTACATCTTTTACAGAAACCTCATAAAAATAAAAAACATATCTTTATTAAACCATCTCACTTGCAACAAAACTGATGTACATTTTAAGACATTTTTTACACATCTCTTAATTTTTTTTTGCAACTCTCCCTAACAAAAAGAAAACAGTAAGCCTTTGAATATGCATGTATAAAATGTGTGTTCAACTGTTTCTCTAACTACAAGAAAAAAAATACAAGTGGCTTTTTTAATTTGTTAAACTTTTAGTCACAGGCCGGCAAGGCTTGTTTCAGAAATACTCGCAAATCTCCACAAGCCCATCTATGATAGCCATCTCTCTCCTCTAATTTTTAATTTAAAAGAAGGCAACTGGTCAACAGCACATACCATAAACTCTCGCACTATTTTAATCAAATAATGGAAGTTCACCATTACTCTAATAATGAGTCCATGGCTCTTAATTTACTGTGGAGTGCACTTTGTGGCAACAGAATGTGCACCATTAACACAGAGATTTACAGTCCAGTGTGCTAACCACTAAGCCAAGCCAGGTTCAGCTGGTAAGGCTCAAGTAGCGTACTTTGAAACAAAAAACAGCTCACTGCAAGTAAAAGAAGTTAAAGCACTAACTGTAGAGGATATAAAAAATAAGGTTATAGAATACACAAATATATATTTTGTTTGTGAAACTTCAGTGCATTATTAACCTTGAACAAGATAAATGACCATAATAATAAAAGTACGAAAGCTGATGTAATTGTTTAAATAATATTCCATAATTTCAAAAATTATAACTGCATTTGAAAAAAAAAAAATATCCTACTCACCGTAATGAAACCATACCCTTTTGATCTTCCTGTCTCTGTATCTCTGATTAGTTCCACTTTTTCAATCTAGAGGAAGTGGAAACATACCTTTAAGTAAACAATACTCTTATTCTAAAGAATTTCCAGTAATACAATTTGGAACAAATTCAGCACAATCTTACTGTAAAAAGAAGGTACAATATTTTCTTATTTAACCTTCAAGACCTTCCTGACATAGCACAAGTTCGCCAATAAAGTTCCCTTCAGCACAATCTTACTGTAAAAGAAGGTACGATATTTTCTTATCTAACCTTCAAGACCTTCCTGACATAACACAAGTTTGCCAATAAAGTTCCCTTCAGCACAATCTTACTGTAAAAAGAAGGTACAATATTTTCTTATCTAAACTTCAAGACCTTCCTAACATAGCACAAGTTTGCCAACAAAGTTCCCTTTCCTTTAGGTGTCAAGTTTTCCTTTTACTAATCTAGCCACTATAAAACGTGATACAAGGTATAACAAATATATATAAAGATAACGCATATATAAACTGAAACATCAATCTCAATATCAATTGAACTATTTGATAATTATATAAAAAATTACAAAAGAATATTGTACTTGTTCAGTATCTCACAAGATTTTGACATAAATGGTAAATTTTCATGAAGTTACATTATTAAATTAAAAACAGTATTTTACAGAGAACAAATATAAGCCTTAACTTTAACTATTCACTTGATTAACATGCATCTTTCACTTTCATAGCATTATTCCTTGGAACTTCAGTTTCTCTTCAAGATTAAAAACATTATTTTCAGAAGACAAGTTTTCAGTGAGAAAAAAAAAAAAATAATATAAAAATGTTTCTAAATAAAACACCTGCAACAAATTTAATCTTGCAATACAACCTACCCTTCCAAAAGGCTCAAAAATTCCTTTCAACATGTCTTCTGTAATGTTAAAATGCAATGATCCAACATACAGTCTCATAGGTCCATAACTGCCTTTCTGAAGGTTGCTTGCAAGTGCTGCTGCTCTATTTTTTTCAGCTTGAGAGGGTTGGACAATTATTGGTATACCTAAAAGCTTTTGACCATTCAATCCACAAGCCTGATAAAGGTCAGAAATCATGATTACAAAAGTGTAACAAACTACTATCTTTAACATACAACTTTATAAGTAAAACAAATAGAAAGTAACCTTATATGCTTTAGACCAACTGTTCAAGTTTACATATATATATATATACATAAATTTATAATATAGATAAGCTGCATAAACACATATATAGAAGGTAAAAGATATCACCAAAAGTACAATTAACAGTGTTTCCAAAATTTATATAAAAAAAAAATCCATATTTATTCATTACCATTTTTATTACACATACATACATGAAGATTTTTCTGGACTGCAGCCGTTTTCTAAGAGAAATGCAGTCCACAGAAGTCTCCATGGAATTAATTCACTCTTCTCTATATAAATTTTCTTCAAACATATACAAGCTTTTAAAAGATAATCCAAATCATGGGGAAAAATTAATTATCAAAATATATTTAGTTAAAAACATATCTATTACCTTCTAAGTGATGTTAAAAATCAATAGAAATAAACAAAAAAACTCACCAAAGAAACTGATTCTATGTCTACAAATTCCACATATGCAATCCCCTTAGACCTTCTAGTTCTGGTATCCACAATTATCTTTATATCACGGACCTGTTAAATGTAGTAGTTTAAAACTTAGAACACAGTCCTACCCTTCAATATTTTGAAAATCTTAATTCAATGCTAGTCAGCACAAATTATAATATACTATTAACTTAAAATAGTTTATCACTACGAGGAAATCTCCAAGTTGTTAACACAGAAACTATCTGTCAGTATTGGAAGACATTCAGTGATGCAGGGTTACCATTAGGAGCTGGTGGTAAATAAGATTACTCTTCAAAGTTTTGCCAGTTACTTTGAAATTAACTGACCTAAAAAAAAACAATTTTACATTTAGCTTTTCTTAGAAAATAAATACCTCAGACAGAGATTTCACAGGTCATGCAAATCCTGAAAAGTCATAGAATTTGTTAAACTTTTTCAGTACTGAAATCAAGTTTTTATATTGAGGTCTTCGAAAAAATCCTTAAGGTCTAACCCCCATCACTCCCAAATCACATTTTTATTGTCAATAAGCCATACCATTGTGTACACCTGTTCCCAAACATTATCTCTAGGAAAAGGTGATTCAACAATGGCAAGTAACAGGCTTTGAACTATACATGTACCTCCAGCTGCAAGCAAACGTGTCTTATTACTGTTGCTGGAATGATACTGTTAGTGCAAAATAAGCTCAAGACTTGTTTGGAAGTAATCTAAAAATCATAAAATTGTTGATGGGATAAAGAACGTGGATGTTTTAGAATTTTCTAATGCCAGCTTTAGGATAAAGACTTCAAGAATAATTAACGTTTCTAGCCAAAATTCTTCATCATTTATTGTCCAAAGGACACAAATCAAAGACTACCTCAAAATTTTATAAAAACCATATGATGACATTAATCTTAATGCTAAAGGACTGTGGCACTGAAGACACAACCATGAGGTATTCTCAGCTCTTGCAATAAGGCTTAGGATAGTACTGATTCCACAAAGTTTTTGAATGACATCTTTTCTAAAAGGACTGAAATAAAAATAGGAAATAGTCACACAAACTGTAATAATGAAAGACCCATGAAATACTGATCTTCCACAAGGTGTCTGTCATCAATTTTCTCATGACTAACGACACCCAGAATCAAGTTGCTTGCACCACGACATTTTAAAGTTACATTCAAAACTGAATCAAACAACTTTTTCGTCAGTGTATGTCAATAAAACTATAATGTAGTTTATACTTCAAATTTTAGTATTATACAAATGTTAATTTCTTAACTTTAAGAAGAAATACTTTATTAAATAAATTCTTAATCATCACTTCTCTGTGCCACATGAAATATATTTGCTTTGAATTCTCTGTTTTAGATTTTCTTTCTCCCAATTTGCTGAGATATAAATAAATTTGTAAGTACTAAATTTATTATTTTTTTAAGTGGGATTTTGTTTATTATATATATTTTTAACATAAATAATTAAAATGTAAAAATTAAGAACTTAAGTTAGATGAAAAAACAATTCTTTTTTTTTTTTGTCTTCAGTAACATGGGGAAGGTGTATCTAGATGTCATGTGATGCAACCTGAAATTGTGTTTATTCTAAACTCTC